GAGTCTGACACTCTATCTCGCTTTACGCTGGGCCGGAGAAGTCATTTGATGATTTTCCCCTGACAAAAAAAGGGATTTGAAGATTGGGCACGGAGACAGAGAAAGGGATTATGGCTAGGGTAACTTCTCACACATGAAGTTCCTGAGTGCTATAGGCTTTAAATTATTGGATATTGAATTTGAGCTCACCCAAAACGTTGTTGTTTCAAAAAAATATACATTACTTGAATACGCGTGCGAATCCGCGGACGGAAGCGTGTAGTGTAATATAAAAAATGAAACTAAATGATTTATTCAAAGCGTTAAAAACGAAAGTTTTACGCTTAAAAATTTCATCTTTATACACTTTCTTCTGGATAATAATTTAATCAGCGAAACTAATTCATTTTAGGACGGTAGCGCCGTGTCATTGATTATCTGCTTGAGAAGGTTTTTATCTATTGAAGGCAATAGGTTAAAACTTTTAGTCAGCTATTACAATTTCATAGTTGAAGTGAAAATATTGGGCCCTACACTTTCTCGTGTAGGAGGGCTAACGAGCAGACGTATTAGCTGATGGTAAGCAATGACCGTCGCCCATAGCCCACTCTGGAGGAGCTACAAGTGTTGCCGACCTTTGAGGAAAGGGATTTAAATTAATTATTATGTTTTCGGCTTACTCACGTAATAATTTGACGAGATACTCGACTAGTTTCAAGCCATGCTAGAGGTCCATATTCATGAGCAGCATTCTGCGACATGCAACTCGGCGACTGTCGCGCTGCTACTGGCTACTCGAAGGATTTTGGCTACTCTTGCAAGGGATTTGGGCGAAAAATACTGGTATTAAGTTATTTAAAATGTAAAAGAACCTTTAACCGGTTCAATATTCCTGTGTCACTCGAGAGTTCAAAACATACGTAGGTACATGTGTCGAAACTAACTCCCGCTCATAGACTATTATTCGCTTTCTTAAGTACCTAGTTCTTTGTTTAATTAGAAGAAAAATCAAGTGTCTCACTTTATTCGATTGAAGGAGTAAATTAAATTTGTTTTTTGTTATCAACACTCCGATTAAATACTCTCCTAATTAAATATTTTAGGTAGTAATCTCGCAATCGTCTTCGAATATAATTTACAAAAAATCTCACACATGAGGATAGCTTCCAATATGATATTTAGTCACTCTTCGATTCAGTTAAATCACTCGTCATTGTTTATCATGTACCTGCAAATTCTAAGTATTGTTTTGAAGCAAAGCTTTATCGGTACAGGCAAACCATGAAACTGTCTGAATCTCAATAGAAATTCGCGTAGAGACGTGGGCCACACTGCGACATCGCGAGAACATCAAACTTGGGCAAGATGCCATAATCATTAAGTCTCTCGCGTTGCGTGGAAGTCTACCAGCACCGCACACCGTTCAGGAGCCATCACGAACTAGGGCAACGCGAATAACCGCTCCACAACCCTCAATCCCAACCAAAACACACCGCAAACCAAATAACTAACTTAAAAACTATATAAAAACCGCCATTTTCCGTGCAATTCCGCGTGCAACAATCAACCAAAACAAACAACCAGCTCCTCTTACCGGATTAGATGAAGATATCACATTTAACATTTAAAAAATATCACAGAAGTAGAAAAAAATGATTGCATAAAATGTTGTATCGAAAATCGCAAATGACATAAATGCTAAACTTGACAGACTTTTAGGTTTTGGAACGCTCTGTCAAAAAATCTAAGCGGCCAGCCTCGGGACCATAGACGCGTTAAAGTTTCAACACGAAAGAGGTTAAGTTTGCAAACGGGAAAATTTTAGCGCGCTTTTTCTCAAGATGGCGGCCGGTGCGACACGTGGCGTTTTAAAAAGCGTGGCAGTCGTCTGCTGAGACTATTTCCCGCGTTATTTTATTTCTAGACGTTACATTTCGCGCTGATTATTTTTAGCTATGAATTTGTATCGGAAAGGGGACGACGGGTCGTTCACTACATATTGTCGCATGAGTATATTGATGCGAAATGTTTTCTGGCATCAAGCACTTAGTTTGAAATGTTCGTGGATGGTTTAGCGATGACTGTTCTTCAGTCAGAGATGATGAAATGCAGTTTGCGATTATCTACATCGCAAATTAAGATCATTCTTCATAGGAGAGGGAGGCAAATGGCCACACGAATAACCAGCTGATGGTAAGCAATCATTGCCTTGCGCTTATTCATATTGCAAGCCACAGGTATTTAGTTAGCGATCCTTGCATCATCAAATTCTCCATGTCAAATATATCTACAGGAGATTCTAGTCTTTCTAGTCCCTAGCTAAGGCTAGGATGACATTCTAGCACATCGGCTACATATTTATAGAACATCGAAGTTCAATGATTTGGCTCAAGGAATTTAGATTTGTGAATTCGCAATAGTAATTGCATCGGCCGACACGACTTGCCGATTTACATTTAGCGTTAGTTGTTGTATTTTTAAACGTAGTTGTAATTTGTGTGACGTCCGAATGGGTTATGAAGACTGGAATTTTGGATGTTGATCGATAAATACACTTTGAAAAGAAAACGGAACAAAATGTGTACAACTGAAAAATACAGTCCACTGCAAATTTTCAAAAACTTTTATATCGAAAATTATGAATTGCTCTGTGCCACCTTGAGCTATGTAGGTATTAAAACAAGTTTCAAATTGTAACTTTAATAAGCCAGTCTATTCATTACAGACCAAGTTAAAATAGAAACAGAAATACCTACATTTAATTTACATTTTCTGAAATACCAGAAAAACGTGACCAAAAATAGGAGAATGATTCGCCCAAATTGGAATGTGACCTATAAAATCCTTACATTATTTCAGTCACCGCTAGAAAAGTTCAATTCTCTACAGGTGCCTGATCTATTCAGTTCATTGACATTTCGAATGAGGTCGTGTATTCGTGTGAGTAACGCCTACGGGTGAACGACGTGCGCAAACGCATGTGTGCGTTAAAATGGACCCAATTATCTCCCGACTGTTTATGACTTCCTCGTACTTGCGAACATTTTGGGGGGTAAACTGGTGTGTAGGTGGAGACTTCGGCAACGCTCTCTGATTGATTTGATCCTTTAAAACTGCCATCTTCCACCTGCTTTTCCACCGTGAAGATGATGAAGATGGAGAAAACCCTTCTTTTGTTGAAGAAGTCTACAATTCAACAGTGTGGTCCCTCAAAGACTGTTGATGTTGAAGGTGGGTGGTCTGGAGTTGACGTGGTAGTTTGGTAGGTAAAGGAATATATCGTGAGGAAACCTGGACTTATAATTTCTAATTAAAAGTTTGAATTTTGTCAATCCGCCTTGAGCAAGCGTGATGATTAATGCTCAAACCTTCTCCGTGTGAGAAGAGGCCTTTGGTCAGCAGTGGGCACTTAGAGGCTGATGATGTGATGTGGTCTGGAGTTTGCCTATTTATTACTCTACTTATAAGGACGTAGGATGATAGTAGTGGAGGTTTTAGACGACATAACCGTTCCACGTTCCACACTTCCAAGATCTTCCCCCAAAAATTGGGAGATTTTAGGAGCGAGAAAGAGTTTTAAACTCAAAGATATTGTGGGAATTAAAATTTTCCTGCGGTTTGATTTAAGATGTACTTTTGTGGGCGTGACCCATTTTCGATCCGGAAATAACTTGTGACGCTGCTAATACAGTTTTTACATCTTTTTACACTCATATTGTAAAGAGGAATGTGTTATTTGTTTGTAATTCTTCATTAACAAGCTTGTGGTTATAAATATCATGGTTTTTAACCGATCTTAGTTAAGATTTCTGGGTCGATCTCTTTTTTGACAGAAGCTCCATACAATTAATGTCAAAAATCAATCTAAGTCTGTCGATTTTAGATTGAGATCAGTTGATAGTTAGGAAGAATGGAATTTTAAAAACTTTATCATAATTTTACATGCGAGTGAATTTGACATTTCAAATTTTCAGTAGAATCAGCGTCTCAAACTTTCCATACTTATGTCTCAATGGCGTCTTGCAATTGACCTTAAATGAAAGCCACGCGTTTGCTTAACTAGACTAATTACTGGTGCCCTAAATAAATCATTGAGGCCTCTTACCAGTGCGCTCATATCTCGATTACGAATTAAACAATGGTGCTCTAACTTTTGATACAAATCCCCTTCAAATAAAGGGTCTTACCCTTTATTTGAAGGGGATGATCATCGAATGGCTTATCCCGCCCTGCGTTAGGCGAGGGGTGTCAGACTATTACTGCTAAAAACTACCACGTTACCTAATACCCTTGCTGGACTCGCAAGCCTGGATTGGAAATGGCCTTCAATTTATAAAACCGGATGGTAAGTAATCAATCGGTACGTTCCATAAACACCCGCAATAGGACTGTCGTTTGGAACTGTGTTGCTATACCTAGATTATTGTATTGATAGACCTTAGACGGCAAGATTTTAAATAACAAGTTCAGCTTAAGCTGAGATAAATGTCAATACGTCTTCATCATTCGAGAAAGAATCGTGAACTGAAGGCTCTTGTAATATTATCAGGTAAAAACCTAGAGACCAAAGTACTACCTATTAAGAAGAAATGAATTTGTAAAAGTAACGTTAGAGTTTAAAACTCATAAACGCAATGCATCCAAGAATTTTCTTAATCACCCAACGAAAAGAGACCAAAACAAGACCAGAATAAGAAGAAAGAGAAAAACCTGCAGAAACATCCTAAAACCAAAAATTAGCCAGCTGAAAAGGACACAAAACATTTATATCTATAACTAACACACACAACATTTTTGAAAAAAGAAAATCAAAATCGAAAATACACAAAATAAAAACACGTGCAAAAAAGAGCCAATATAAATGAGGTGCTGCATTTCTTAGGTGCTTCGATTTTGGTTGGTCTGAATGCTTGAAACCGGCTACATATTGTTTGAAACTACCCTTAAATAATTAGACCTTCAAAAATAGTTTTATTAAATCGAGGCACCTGAGAAATGTGGAAATAAAAATGAATACTTACCGCTTTAATATCATCGTAATCCTTTGTGTCCAAAACTCTTCTCCGGGAAGACGGAGTGTCAGGGCTCATGTTATTATCATCAGTCGGTTCACTTATAGTACTCTCAGTACTTGTCTCCATAGACTTGATCTCCTCCAAATTCTCTTTTCCCTCTTCATTCTTTTCCGTTCTCTTCTTCAAATAATTCTCATGTTCAAAAGTTTTGTTCTCGAAACCGGTACCGCTAGGAGACTCGATATCATTGTCGAGTAGTATTCTATCATCTTCAGAGTCTATGTACTTTAAACTAGCTCGTTTCCTTGGCTCTGCTTTCACATCATTCTTAGGTGACTCCTCAGTAACTGTATGGTTTAAGTCTATCTGTTTTTTCGGCGTCGTTCCGGACGCCACGGGCTGCGAGATCTGAATGTACGAAGCGAAGTTAGACGTGTGTTTGGGTGTTTTCGTTTGTTTCTCTATATCGCTCTTTATATCTTTAATTTTACTTCCATCTGAATTATTTTTCTTATAATCCAAATCGCCATTTTCTACGTGAATGACTGTCGACTTTTCTAGAATCTTTCCTATTGGATTGTTTGGGTCTAGCTGGCTTTTAATGCTGGCTAGACGGTCGGAAGGCAGTTTTGAGGTGAGAGAGGTGGACATGGAACTATTTCTATCATGTATAGGTTTTGCTAAACACACTGGCTCGGATATAGTCTTACTGAGTGACAGGTCTGAGTTAGAGTTAGACCGGGAGCTGGACGACCCTATCTCCCAGCGCAAGCCGTTCTTTTCGTACGGCAGATGAACGGGTACCGGTTTTTCGTCTTTGGGGACTACCTTCGTATAGCCTACAGTCCCGTTCTCGCAATCCTTGAGCTGGTTTAGATACTGTTCGGTGTACCGCGAGTCGTTCGCGGGTAGTTTCGTTACGGTCATTTTCGGGTCGAACCTCTTTCTGATCTCCGAGACGGAGGGTACTTCGTTGCCGTTGGTGTCTTTGACACCGTTTAGCATCCCCCTCTTGTAAACTGGCGAGCTTTCCTTATACGATCTTCGTTCCGGTCTCTGGTTTTCAAATATTACGCTTATTTTTTGTTCTTGTGAGGTAAATAATGCGACATGTGATCAGTGTGTGTTAGTCCAACATTTAAATCATGCTTTGCTGTAATACCGGGTGCACCATTCATGGTACTGGAACTATTTCAGTTACTACGCTATTGTACAAAATAGGAGGACGTAGCATCAATGTTACACGTGTAAATGGTATTACTAGCAAATTCGCATCTATGTTACTACGGTGACACCTGTTGAAAGGTCAAAATTGCTTGTACTTTAACTGGCGTTTACTACCTTTCAATCGGTGCTAGTTCTACTATATTTTGAAAGCTGTCAATTTAATGTATGGCTCTTTATTAAGTGCGATGTTAAAGAACGTACACACACACTCACACGCGCACACTTTATCTGTGTGCCTGCGAAATTTTCGACAAGTAAAATATATGTCCAGTTGTTTATGGTTTTGAAAAATAAAACTCGGCTGATGTGATGACCTTCGGGATAATTTTCCGAAGTACAGTGATGTATGATGGTTGATGATGTGATGTTCAGTCGTGAAAGAATTTAATGGACCTTACATAATGGTTGAGAGAAAATAAAAATACTAACATAATAACATGATTTCTTTAAACGAAAAACACTAAATTAGAATTATGAAAACTGTAAAAATCTCTAATGAAGACAATTTATATTATTAATCATTAACCTTACCTAGAAAAATATTAAAAACAAAACGAAAAAAAAGCCAATTGGTTACTAAGAATGCTAAGATGATAATAAAAACTCTTTTGCATGCTGTCAATTGACAGTGACATAACACCACAAACAAAATCCTTTATAGAGCGAGAGTGTGACAACATAATGCTATCTCTTTTACACGTTGACTGCAAAGTTTTAAGTTAGAGTGAGATGACAAGATTAACTAATTTTGGCTTACCACGGCCGGACATAGGATTACTCCAAATAAAGATATATTACTCTTATACATAACTTCGTCTGATCGGTACAATAAGAGAAAATACAATAAAACTAAATATAAAAATTATATGTCTCATTGGTTACGTAAAAATTAACACATTCCAAGGGTAATATCATACACATCAATATTAAAGTTACATTGAAGAGGTATTTTTGGTGAATATATTACTTGTATAATATTGTAATGTGGTGACGTCAGGTTGGAATAGATTTGTCACTAGATCTGACTCTTATTATGGGTATGTTATACCCGACAGAGACCAGGCAGCAGCATTCTCTGATAAAACTGAACTTTTTAAGACCAGAGGTTATGAAGAGGAGTTCGTAGCCCAACAAGGCGACTATCACCCGCTGTTTTTTGAAGTAGCTATCACTACATAGTATAAACCAAAGTCGCTTCCTCTGTCCCTATATCCCTATGTATGCTTAAATCTTTAAAACTACGCAACGGATTCTGATGCAGTTTTTCTAATAGACAGAGTGATAGAAGAGGAAGGTTTATATGTATAATAACATCAATTAAATAGTGGAGACATTTAGTATCATGATAGCACAGGGCCGGTCGCTAGCTGAGGCATATCTCTATTAATATTATAAAGAGGTAAAATTTGTAAGTTTGTAAGTAAGGGGTAATCTTTGGAACCGCTGGTCGGATTCCCAAAATTCTTTCACTGACAGATAGCTACAATGTTCCTGAGTGCTATAGGTTATAAAACATCACGCTACGATCAAATGGAGCCGAGCAGCGGGTGAAACCGCGCGAGAGAAGCTAGTAACTATATTTAAATATGTCTGTATGTTGTCACACTCTTGTCTCAGAACTTTAAAAGTTAATAATTTGTGTGTAGTGTGTTTTATTGTTTTTATTTGTGTGTAGTGTATAGCTTTGAATACCTATTTTAAACCATTTTATCCTTTTTTATGCTTACAATCCCGAATTGCTTTGGTCATGACATTATGCGTAAACTAACTAGATCGATCTCGATAATTCTGTTTTTAATTTGTTTATTATTTTATCTGGAGAAGATGCTTACGAAAAAAAGAGTGAATATCGGAATATATCAGCCCTATAGATGGCGTAACTGCGCTGTTAAAACAAATGACTCGGAACCGAGGGTTTTTGGACACAGCTACTAAAAATAAATAAACATTTTTCTATTAAATATTTGTGTTGTTAGAACGACCATAGTTATTTAGATATTCTTTTGGAAGAACTAAATTCGACAATAAATATTAATTGATTTTATTTTACTTTTAAATGCGTCTAAGGACTTTTTTTTAAATTCCCGTCTCTACATTAATAATTTGGAAGATTTTCGAGTTCGTACGCTATCAATAACTTTGGTATCGATTTCTATATTAGCCGAACGACCTTGACCTCACAGTTCAAGGACGTAATAATCGTATCATCGATCCTAATTTTTTTACTACGTCAATTTTTGAAGGTTCTTCTAAGACTATTATATATGAGTAATTCTTTTTTTAATTGGTATCAAAAATAGACGACATGTATATTCTTTTTTTTTTGTTTTTTTTTTTTTGTCTTTCAGCCGGAGACTTAAATAATATTAATATTAATATTAATCAAATGGCGAATTGGCGATTTGATATTTTTTTTTATCAATTTCATTTCGATTGTGATCATCACATGGATGTAAATGAAGAACCATCATGCCAGTGACCATCAGAGTTCTATTACACAAAAAAACAATGCGTCACCAGTAAAAAACCAAGTAAATACCTACACATAATAAAATTTCGCAGACACTCAAAATAAATAAAAGAAAAACTTATAGAGAAAAAAGAAATATAGTACATTGATATAGAGAGGACTAAAGTGACAATTACCTCCGAAATCGTTGCTGCCGAGTTCCTCGCTTTTCTGGCCAAGCGCGTCGGGTCAGACACGGGAGGCCTTCCGATGTCGTTGGATATAGACTTCGACCTCGAAATCTCTCCAAAGTTCTGATTTAGTTGTTGTTGTTGTTGAATCCTTTGCGTCAACGGTATGTAGTTTGCAGGCGAATATTTGTTGTACCAATCCGCGTGAGACATCGCCAGATCAGCTGAAGGGATCACAGGCCTTCTTCGCCCAATTGTATCGCTCGAAGTCTTACTACTTTCGCTTCTGGTCGTCGAAATATCCCTCGACCGGGATTCGCTTCTCTCTGAACGGTACCTGCTAGAGATACCGCTGTCAGAGTCAGCGATACTCGGCGCTCTGGACGTCCTTGAGCGCTCGACGATGGTCTTCCTCTCGCGATTCCCATCAAGGTCAGAGAATCTGGATCTGTATTCTGACTTTTCGTAACTGCGTATGGTGCCATAGTTTTCGCTTGTGGATCTGTAGTAGGGTTTTTCCACTGTAGACGAGGTCAGGGTCGACCTGTATGAGCCGGAGAGGCTTGACGATGTGGTGCTGTACCTAGATGGTGATACGACGGGCATTTTGGCGGATTCCGAGCTATCTTCTACTGTGTTTTACACATATCCTTAACGTTACTTTATCTTATTCTAGTCTAACTTTGATTCTGGACGGCGGACGTTTTCTTTGCATGTTTTCTTTTAATACACTTTGGTTTGTTGTTTTTTGGGCTTTTCCTGTAACAAAGTTTTTTTGGTTAATTTGGAAAATGCATTTTGAGATTCGAGTTCATCTGATGTAAAATGAGCTGCCATGTCGGACATCCATAAAACCAGATTTGTCAAATGTTACTTTGTTATAGGCCTTTTAAAATGAATAAAGTAATGGATATTCTAAATACTGTCCAAAATCGACCTACGTGTTAAAACACGTTAATACTAAATAAGATTTTCCGTGTAACTTTTGCATAGCACAAAAGCCAAAACTGCTAAAATATAGTTCAATGCCTTAAAATGGTTTTAACCTTTAACCGATTTTAGTAAATATTCCAAGGAATCGGGTCACATCCTATATAATATTAGGTCTAGTAGACAGCAGTAAGATTACAATGGACAGAGTTTGCCAAGAAACACGACATTAATGCGAGGGTCAAATCTTTTACCATTTTACCTACATATAACATTCTATTGAGAAAATAATCTTAAAAGTATTTTATAAATAAAAAATTGAGTAGGAGGATGATGCTCATGTCATTCTTCGGCACGAATGGGTCGGCTCAACCGGAGTGATACCACGGCCTCACAGAAAACCGGCGTGAAACTACCACGGCGTTGTGTTTCGCCGTGTGAGTGAGGTTACCAGAGGCCCAATCTTTCGCTCCCCAAATCACATCCTAACCTAACCATCCCCAAAATTTTGGTAACGTAGTCGTAATTCCTACGTTGTTGTGGGTGTCCATGGCCGGTTGCTTACCACCAGATAAATCTGTCACGTCGTTTGCTATCCTATCACATAAAAAAGGGACTAAAATTGATCCCTAGTCTTGCGGCTTCCCACGTTACTGGTCATCTATTAGCCTTATCGTGTGTTTTTTATAGACTATAGCCTTTCTCGTTAAATAGACTATTCAACACAAAAAGAATTGTTCAATTTGAACTAGGAAATCCTTAAAATAGCGCGTTCAAACAACAAGCCTGAGCAGTGTGTCTCGCAAAGTCATTCATGAATATGAGCCCCTAGCGTGGCTTGAAACTAGTCGAGCCAAACAAACAAATACGTGCTAACAACTTTTAAACTTTCGCGTATCATATTTACAACATAAATTACGCGGGTATTAACGCGAAAATCTGTTGATTGTGTGCTTGTGACCACGACCTGTGCAACCAGGTCGAAATGGTCAAGCTTACCAAGTTTTTTAGATAATTATTTTCGCGTAAATACTTGCGTAATTTATGTAAAACACTTACGTGCGTAACTCGTTAATCAAATTTTAACACGCTTGCTTAAACGACATCGAAAGTGTCGGAGGATGTACACCATGTAAACATAGGTACTGGAGAGGACGACCCTATTATAATGAAGAACGCAAGATCTGGTTTCGTATCCAGTAGAAAACCTCGCCCCCTTTAACGTGCTATTGATAGTATAGTAACTGATAAACTAAAGTGGGTGGTTTTACTGCAAAAATTTGCCTAATAAGTATAAATTAATAATCACTACACAGTATAGAACAAAGTCGCTTTCTCTGTCCCTATGTCCCTATGTATGCTTAAATCTTTAAAACTACGCAACGGATTTTGATGCGGTTTTTTTAAAAGATAAAAGTTTATAAAAGAGGAAAGTTTATATGTATATGATAACTAGCTACTCCCGCGCGGTTTCCTTTGATTGGAGCGTGATGTTTTATAGCCTATGGCACTCGGGAACATTGTAGCTATCAATTATTGAAAGAATTTCGGAAATCCGACCAGCGGTTCCGAATATTACCCCCTACATACAAACTTACAAATTTTACCTCTTTATAATATTAGTATAGATAAGTTACAGGACACAAATACAAGAACCGGAATAAATGAAGAAATAAAGAATGGGTTCGGGTTCTTGTATTGTTGATCTTGATCACAACTATGCTAACTTAGAAGGCTCTTGAATAGAATCTCGCTGTGACTTGAAACTTGTAGAGCTTTTCACAGTTAAATCACGCGAGTAAGTAGTTATCTGTACATACTATAATATAATAATATTACAAAGAAGTAAAAATTGTAAGTTTGTATGTAGGGGGTAATCCTTGCAACCGCTGTCCAGATTTCGAAAACTCACTGAATGTACAAAACAGCTACAATGTTCCTGAGTGCTATATGCTATAAAACATCACGCTACTGTCAAAGGGAGACAAGCAAGGGGTGATACCGCGCGGCATTAGCTAGTTTTCAATAAAACTATACAAGACATCGATCGAACCCAATCAACAGATAAATAACAACAATTTAAGTACTATCACAAATATTTTTGTTTATATTGGTTACCATAGCAACCATGACAACAGATTATTTTTTATCTGTGTAGCTGTATAAACATAGTAAAGATAAAAAAATATAGTTTAGTACATGAACAGTACAATGTTTTTTATCACAGTAAGTTTTATAATATTATGTTACTATTACCACCCAGTCTTGATAATTACCAGCTCGAATGGTTGCCAGGGGTGTCTCTGAATTTTTAGTAAAGTTACTATTCACACTCTCTTTTGGCACATGTACTCTTTTATTTGCAAATAGAAAAATGAATTTGTTATTTGCGAATAGGCCTAGGAATAGAATAATCAGCTCTTCATACCAAAGTACCTTATTATAAGTATAATAAAGCCAAAGGGCCTGTTTGGTTGATCGCATACATTTCGAAAATTGTTTGCATCGAAAAATGACCTGTACTGTTTTAAATTGTTTATTAATTGTGAACAGTACATTTATTTTATTTAGCTAATGCTGATACTACATATAAACCTTCCTCTTCAATCACTCTACCTGTTAAAAAACCATATCAAAGCCTGTAGCATTTTAAAAAATTAAACATAGTAGGTCCGTATATCTCTATAAGATATACGGACAGAGAAAGCGAATTAGTTTTGTACTGTGGAGTGATATTTACAGTTGAAAAGAAACTTTAGGCCATAAATATCATGCTGATATATGCCTGAAAACGCAAGGTAGTTGCCTATAGTTTGCAGAGGTGCAGTCTTAATGTAACCAGAAGCAGGAGTATATTACTTTGAAGAAGGTGATTCCACAGTTAAGCTCAAAGTGGATGAGTTGATATTGTTTTTAGTCAATTAAAGTGTTCTTATCGCACGTAGCGGGGAATGATTCATTTGATAATATCTATCCATGGAACATAGGTACATTATATTTTCAATCAAATATTGTGGTAGATGAATCTGATGAAATTTCTAAGGACAACTGATTTTCGAGTAGTTTTTAACCCATAAATTTCACTTAAGATGACATAGCAAAATATATTTGAAAACTAGTAATAGATATCTACCGTACTACATTAAAAACTCTTTGCTAATTTTTCAACCTAACAAAATGTGTTAGCGATTATCTATAGCTATACAAATGTTTACAAACGCATTAGTATGACTCCAATGACCTAGAAAATAAGGTTTACTATTGTTTAAATACAAAGGTATGCCTGCAAAGAACTGGGTATCTGATAACCAAACACTACAAAAACATTAGTTGGGTTACCAGATGTATTTTTACCCTGAATTATGGGTAAAGTAGAAAATCATGTGTGATAATGTTCTAGTATGATTTTTAAAGAGTTTTTGAGTTTAATTTATAGTCAGTAGCATAAGAAAATTACTTTAAAATACTAAGTTGACATTTATCTGAAAGATGTATTGCGCCATTTTTTGCACTGAACAGATGATGAAAGTGAAAGGTAAAGACAACACTGCAATATGCCACGGTTTTTATGCACAAACCTTTTTTGTAAACAAGTCCTTCACAAATTCTTTTAAAGGAAGATAATTTTCACGACTGGTAACTTTACGTAAAAAATATATTGCCGTGTTCGTTGGTAAGTAAAACACGGTTACCGCGATGCGTATTCTACTCGATTCAAGGTCATGCACTAAGAATTGATCCAATTAAAACCTTCACGGACATTCCGCGCACAAAAGAATCCACACAACAATCCAGGCTGAATAAGGATGAATACCATCATACCTTTGCGTTAAAAACACGTAACTTGATACTATAGGATCGAAATATTGTTTTATACGTCAAGGACACACATTAAAAAGCAGTATTTGAAGCGTAATTACAACTTTCACACGTCTTTACAGCTTCGCAGTCGCAAAATCATCAAATATAATTCCAAAAATACACTCCAGGATTATTTTTAGCGACATAGCATGACACAGCCTATGTTCATAAAAACACAAATTAAACAAATTATTCATGTTACATCACGTGTATGGTACGGCAAAACGTAAATATCGATCGTTAATAACCAGTTTTCGTGCGGAAAATACATTAGATACTCACAAAATATGAAAAAAAATCTCCGGTAACTAAGTAACGAAATCACACAGTTTTAACTTCTTATGTCGCGTTTAAAACGATTATTTCAATTAGCACACGCGTCGAACACTTTTATCGAGACTTTTGTATATTAAATTATATTAAAACGGAGCGCATACGTCGGAAAAATATATTTTCTTGCGCTCCTATGTAATTTTAGAAGGCTCCATGACTCCAATGGCGTGACGTCACTCAGATTGTTGGCAATCCTATTTTTATGCCACTTCCTACTCAAACGATAAAATGTCTTATTAACTTAATTTTTCATACAATTTTAATCCTTTTTCTCCAGCAATAAAGCACATTTTAGTTTTATGAAAAGGATTATAAACCTGTGATAGCGAGCTTCAGTGCTGCCATTGTAAAAATGACAGAAAAACTAAAACTTTTTATGCATGACTCAACACCAGCTGATTTTTTCCATTATAATATTATTTAATTTGATATGTTTTCTTATTCAGCAAATAATAATTAAATTGCCAAAAAACATAAAACTATAACAATATTTTAATTTATTTGTGTTACAAATATAACACAAACAGTTCACCCTGAACTGATAGGCTCAAGATAATTTGGCTATCTACCGCTAGATGACGCTATTCGTACAGTTAAAACTATTCGACATTAGATGTCGCTACGCGTATTCAAACAACATGAGATTTTAGTTTAATTTGTAAATTACGTGCTTCAAGTGTGGGAGTGCCAAGCTTCGGCACGAATGGGTCGGCTCGACCGGAGTGATACCACGGCCTCACAGAATACCGGCGTGAAACAACCACAGCGTTGTGTTTCGCCGTGTGAGTGAGGTTACCGGCGGCCCAATCCCGTCCCTTCCCCTATCCCTTCCCGATCCTTATATCCGTAACCCGTATCCCCAAAAGGCCGGCAACGCACTCGTAACTGCTTTGGTGATGCGGGTGTCCACGGGCGGCGCCGATTGCTTACCATCAGGTAATCCGTCTGCTCGTTTACCTCTGTAACCCATAAAGAAATTTATTATTTAGAGCATTAGAACTAATCCTTAAGTCCTCCAATACCTAATCCCGAAAAGACACCGGATCATCATCAGCCTGTTCCCGTCCATAGGCCTCTCCAATTGCTGGTACGCCACTGAGCAATTCATTCTCGCCAAACTCCTTAGTGTTCCGGTCTTAATAAGCGGCACTGATTGGGACAAGCCCCCGCAACCTCCCAAAACCGCTGCAACTCCTGTGCTCCAGGATCTACAGTAGATACAACCATGAAAACACCGGAACATTGGAGTCCGCCGCGTCTCAGGGACATGAATGACTGTCTTGGATCCCGCAACGAAATAAATCAGAAGATATTATATGAGGAGAAGGAAAATCAAAATAGTTTCCACTTCCCTCGATGAATTGAATGCAGGAGACAGAATGACTTAGGCCTTAAAGGCACAGAAGAGACTGTACAACTGGGAGAAACCCAGTCACCAAACACCACGGAATATTTTGGAATGGGACCTATGTCTGAGCTGCTATAGTTATTTTCAGTAAGTACCTAAGCGGCGCTGATTGCTAACCATCAGTTAAGTGTGGGAGAGCCATGCTTCGGCACGAATGAGTCGGCTCAACCGGAGTGATACCACAGCCTCACAGAAAACCGGCGTGAAACTACTACAACGCTGTGTTTCGCCGTGTAAGTGAGGTTACTGGTGGCCCAATCCTTCCCCTCCCCCAATCCCTCCCCAATCCTTAAATCTCCAAATTCCTAATCCATAAAAAGGTCGGCAGCGCACTCGTTATTCCTCCGCTGTGGGTGTCCATGGGCAGCGCTGATTGCTTACCATCAGGTAATCCGTCTGCTCGTTTGCCGACCTATTATATAAAAAAGCTACAATATCCACTACCTTATTTAAGCGCTCCAATGGCTTACAGTTCAGTCTACAGTAAGGTACAGGTTAGTAACTAATTATGGAATACCATTATCTTGTATTTAAAATTACAGTGTTCACTATTGCGAGAGTAATTCACATTTCTTTGACTAAGTATCTATGTTTTTTTTTAAACGGGGCGGTGGGACAACCACACTATGATTTTCTCCTGTGTCGTGGATGCGTTTACAAACATACAATTTCACATACACATCACACCTAGACCCGGAACAACAATTTGTGGATCACACAAAGAGTTGTTCCGTGTGGGATTCGAAACCGCGATACGTTGCGCGGCAGCCAGTTGATCAACCAGCGCGCCAACCATGCAGTCAACGCAATGTGTCAATAACAATGATGCACTTATCTTTACAATGGTTCTCAATTAACATTATTATTTTGCATCCTCTATTGAACTCTATTCAGTTCGTCACATTGATCTGAATTGCAGTAGCTACAAGTGCAGGGCTTCAATATAGAACACTATTAATTCAAAACGATTCAATGTAGAAACAATAATTTGTTGTCAATTGTCAATCTATTCTCATTTTGCAGAAGTCCTGAGATAGTTTGTAATGGTGATAGATGCATTTTAATATTAATATACTAACCCATTCGGATTGGGCATGTCTGCCAACCCTGAGTAGTATGTATATTTTAACATTATTATTATGTATGATCAATTCCATTCCAACCACAGGGTCCCGTCCTTTTGAAAGCCAACTCGCAGACGCCCTTTGAACAACTTTAATATAAGTGAAATGGGACATCAGCCGGCATTTACCCCTGTACTATGCAAGTGCATTAGGAAATGCACTATGAAAGTGTACCCAAGAACAATTCCCGGTCGATGGAAGATTATTGTGAAATGTGGTAAAAATTGAAAGGGTTATAGGTATGTTGCTATGGACTGGTGGATATGACAAAATAATTTTTAACATAAAAATAAACCGACTTCAAAAAGTAAACTAAAAAGCAAAAAATAAATTTACTTTGTTCAAAGTTATACATATTTTCATTTAGTTAAATATAAAATAATATTTAATAACTATTTTATAATCTTAAAGTCTGTGCCAAGTAAAACAATAATAGTATAAAGATATTACCTACATACCTCTTGCTAATTTGATGATTTTTTTTTATTTATTTAATAAAAAGGTTTACCGACAGCTTCTGTGTAGATAACACTTAAAGTACATTTTATTACATTACTAGAACTTACACAGTTGCCAATTATAGGTTAACCAACATTCCCAAAATAATGATAGGATAAGTACATACCAACAGACTAAAATGAGTAACATGTATCCAATATTAGAGAACTGTACCAAGCTATGCAAACAATGAAACAAGTATTATTAACGCGAACACAAACAGAATCAAAGACGTTACAGACATTTGTACATAAAAATAAAAAAAAGTGACAAAAAATGACAAAAAATCACAACATTTACAAAAATAGTCACATTGTGAGAACACCGTGAGATCATGACTTAGTAACTAGATAAGTTTATATAAAACTATTAAAAGTAGAATTAAAACTAAACCTAAAATAAATTATTATGATTAGTAGGTACCGTTTGGTATATAGCATTTACTTGGCACCGACTTCAAAATTATAAAATAGTTATTAAATATTATTTTCTATTTAACCAAATGAAAATATGTATTACTTTGAACAAAGTAAATTTATTTTTTGCTTTTTGTTTACTTTTTGAAGTCGGTTTGTTTTTGTTAAAAAAAAATTTATTTCACCATTTAAAGTGATAGGCAGAGAAATCTGGGATGGTTCTTAAAATAGAAGACTACGGCTACTTGAGACCGAAAATCATGGTAATGGCAGTCCTGAGTTAGTCAGCTTTCAGTGCCGTAAATCGTTGAGGAATTCCCTCGAATGTCAATGACCACCATTATCAGGTATACTGCAGACCTTCCTTATACATAATCCATATAGGTGCATAGTTCTCATCAATATAAATGAATTAAGCCCAAACACGATGTAGTTACTGTAAACCGTTCAAGAGTTCCCTGAGCTGTCCATCGTTCTCATCATCAGACCCTTAATGACAGTCACGACCAATCTTGGTGTAAAGTGCTCACCAATACGAATCATTCAAGCCTATACACAAGGCAACTACTCCAAATAATCAACGAGAACCCTCGACTGCCTTCCGGCTCCATCATCAGGTCGGGTTCGAACATCGGCAAGTTGTAAATTTGTCAAAAGTTTACTAAAACCATATCCAAAAGCACCACTCGCCCCTACAATTTTTGAAAGCTCCCCTCGATTTCTCTGGTCTTCCATCATCAGATCCTGATTTCCTTATCATGAGACCATTCTGGGACTATCTCCTTTCCAATAAAAAAAATAAATAACGGAGATATCGGCGAACAAACATAAAAAAAGCATATATACGGTCGAATTGAGAACCTCCTCCTTTTTGGAAGTCGGTTAATAACTACAGAAGTACTATGGCCCCTGCCCTTGTAACATTATTATTATTAGTCTGTTTTACTGTCATTAGTTTGATTAATTTAAATTTTCTGTTTTTTTAACCTTTTTATTGTTTTTTTATGTTGAATTTTTCTTCTGACCTTCATGTTAAAAGCATTTATCTTTTTTATTTCTACTTGAAGTTTCTTTCGGTCGAAGGAGTCCGCGGATGCGCAGAATGAGACATGTAGGAAGTGTCGGAGAGCCATGCTTCGGCGCTACTGGTCTTGCTCGGAGTGATACGACGACCTTATCACAAACCGGCGTCGTTCTGCCTTGTGAGTTAGGTTAACCATCCTTTCCCTCCCCTTCCGTCTTCCGCCAAAAGACCAGCAACATACTTTTAAGACCTTTGATATTCTGCCGATTACTTACAATCAGGTTATCTGTCCGATCTTTTACCACATGGCAGGCATTTGGCCCCCATCTCGCCTGATGGTAAACAATGATGGGACCTACGATGGAGCACGCCTACCCATAAGCAACCTATTCACTCGGGCCTTGAAGACACCCAGGTATACCCTTCGGGGAACACAGACTCCGGCAAAGAATTCCACTCCTTAGCTGTTCTGATGATAAAACTGGAGGTGAACCGTCATATATCATAAAGAACAAATTTTTGTCCTTAAATCCTCTGATCTTCTAATCCCTAAACCCGAAAACACTCATCATGATCATCACCATCATTATCAGCCTGTGCCCGTCCACTGCTGGATATAGGCCTCCCCAATGGCACACGATTGAGCAACTCATTTTCACCTAACTCCTTAGTGTTGTGGATAACA